CAACAATCCCGACTGTTCAACCAAACAGAGATGCTTCCATAATATTCTTTGACAAATCAATGATTTCCTTCATTGCATTCAAGTTCAGGAGGGGATGCTCTATTAACTTTGCTTTCTGTCATCAGCTTGTGGACCTTACTATTGCAATGACTGATATGCCAGACGTTTTCAGACCTTCTGCCGTCCACGAACAAGAGAACTTGTCCCTTTCACTGCAACTTTCTCCTCTAATCACAGAATTATCTCTTCATTCGCTAACATCTTCAGAAAGCCAAATTGCTCAAGTCACTGGCGTCAATTCTCCGGTAGAAGGAAATAAAAGAAGTTACGAATGGGGAAATAAAAAGTCAAAAACAAATGAGAATAAACTCTTGGGAAAAGAGAATAGCCAAATAGAATCCCATTTTACAAATCCAAATCAAAGCGTTTTCTCCACTGGAGATTGTGAATCAACGATTCTCGGCAATGACATTTCGAATAACAATTCTTTAGATAACAGAATGTATGAATTTACCAAAGCCCAACAAAATCCCCTCCAGGTTTCCAATCCAATCGGAAACATGGAACCTGACTACACCTTCGATCCCAGCAGATTCCTCATCAAACAGAAGGAGTTGCAGGTCAACGTTCAGAAGACGAAGGAAGAACTCTGGCAACTGCTCATGTCAGAAGGATGCGTATTGAAAGGGCAGAAGACTTTCTCCGGAATCTGCTGCCAGTTGGGACAGCGAAGAACGATTCAGACAATCTTCTTCTGTCTCCTCAGCTTGGCATCGGAGAAAAACTTGAGCTTGACGCCAAAATCCGAATTCGACTTCTGGATCGGTGTGACGGATCTACAGAATGTCAGAACTCGTCGACCTCTTCAACCGATCTCCACCAATATTCTCTGAGCAATCAATCCATCACTGAAGTACTTGTCTCTCACAACACGTACTTGTCGAATACAAGCACATACATATCTATATATAGCATTGTAATGAAGTCATTATATTCTATCTTATCCACAATGTATATTTCATACAACTTGTATTATATAAAATAAACTTTGAACCTTCCTTTCTTCAATCCTTTTCCATCGCATACACAGCAAAATGAAAAAAAATTAACAGAGGCCACGATTTGTACATGGAAAGACAGCAAAAATGTCTCGAAATATTATCGTCAAGTTATCAATATATCACACTTATACACCATTTATAAGTAAATTTGGTTCAAATAAATCATTTTATATCCATAATTCAAACAAAATTTGGTCACCTTTAGAAAAAATATAGCTACATCAACTCTTTATGCCCATTGAAGAACGATGTCGTTTGGAATCTAGCGAAATAAACATGTTCTATAGAAGAAAATCCTTTGAGTTTATAATCTTACAGTATTGTCAAGAAGCTCCATCCAGATGGGACACCTGTCAATCAATCCTGGTTATTATAAGGAGTATTTATAGGGAGAAAGAGAGAGTACAACTTACCCCAAGTTAAAAGATAATCCTAATGTCAGCCACCGTCCCGTTTTCCTTATTTACAGATCAGCTTCCGAGAACCCCTCACACCTGTGGTCCCCCCCCCCCCGGGGTCCAGGGATGATTGACAGGTGTCCCATCTGGATGGAGCTTCTTGATAATATAGTTATGGTAATGTTGATCTCTACATTCTAACCAATAATTTATTTATTTAATTCCAAACCAACTTCCAACCAACAAATGATCTTGGCCACATTTGATATATTTCAAATACATTTTTTACCACCCTTCCCGACGATAAGTACAAAAAGCCCTCTAACCATCTGTTAATAAGAAATGGTGATGTGCATTTTAAGTTATAGATTGAAGTCATAAAGAAGTAGAATCGGATTTGATGGGTAATTTTATGCGCTTAGTTTCAAATTATTAAGATAGAAAGGGCAACTGGTTACCGAATGGATTGTTTCTTTAGATTTTTACTAGCAGAGTAGAAAGTAAAATAGTCAATTCCTCACATATATGGAGGATTTTAAATTACTTTACATTCAATAAGTAAGAGACTCAGTTTTGTTTTTTCCAATATCTAAGAGATTGTTGGTAATATAGTTAATGGTAGGGATTAATTGTTGCCAGGTTCGTTTTTGACGAGACCCGGCCTGGCACCAATTTCTTTCTACCCCAGTTGAACCATCATTCAACAATCCTACTCTAGCAAAAATTGTATATTTTTCTCCAATATGCACTAGGTATTTTATAATATCGATATAAAATATTTATTCTACGAAATTATAAAAAATATTCTTTCTCTTTCTTCAATGATATTAATTGTTTAAATAAACATTACTATGGTTCTGTCTTCAACACTTTTCATACACCAACTCCCTTAATTTCTTCTTTTTTATGTTCCGCTTCTATGACGCGTAACGGGCGAAGCCACTGCATCAACACTATTATAGCTAGTTTAGAAAGAGTTTTTTTAGACATATTAAGTTTTATATTTATTATATTTGGTCTATTTCAATGTATAATTTCTTGCTCAAACAATTAAATCGTATAGAATTGTCAAAGAAAACCTCCCAGAATGTGTTCACCTTGGATCCAAGTGATGGGAAAGAAACTCGGAGGAAGTTCAAGAGATTTGGAAGATTCGTATTAAAAAAACACAAATTAAACGTTAATCACGTGGTACGTGTCACCCAATGACCGCGTAGGGCAAGAGCTCATTTCACGGCTGGAAGGTTGGGCTAACCTAACCTAATTTACGTGGTGTTTGGTCAGGAAATCCCTTGCTTCAGTCTTAACATGGTTGTCAAGCCTTCATTTCTACTGAAAAATTATTAGTATCATTCTTTTTTTTTTCAAATAACAATCAACCGAAAGTAGTTTTGTATAACCTTTTTCAGTTTAATTTGAACAAAATATTTATTAAAAAATATCTCCTGATCGTGAAACTGATCGTTTAGGTACTGCCTACACCACGCTGACAAAAGCCAACTGCCTGAAACGTGTATGTGGTTGGCGGCTACTTGATTTATCATGGCATAATCCAGCAGAAACTTTCAGTTGCACAATCAGGAGATGTCTTCTGTGCAAAGTTGTAGGATTTTAATGTTGTAATTAGAAAAATTCGACTGAGAAAGAGAGAGAATCTTTCACAAGTTAAAAAATTTACAATTTCGCTAATCTTGTATGCTTTTAAACTATAATGTTATTTAAAACTGTCTATAGTATTGCAAGAGCAAGTTTGAACTTTTTCCAAATCAACAATATCTGATTAAAGTTCCAGCTTCCAAAATTTCGGAACAGCCCAAAATGAGCCAAAGGCCTTCAGTATACAGAGCCTACAAACCTACGCTGAAAAAGAAACGCTAACTAAACAAAATGTTCAAGATAATGGAAAATTGATAACGCTCACTCTTCGCGTACATCTAAACAACCTGAGTAAGAACATTCTGGGCATATCCCTAATTAGAAAGAAGAAGTTAGAGATTTCTAGATTAAAAACTGGACACCCAAAGTGTCTCAAGTTTACAGGCAACATCAAGATGTCTTCAACAATCACCAAGTACTGTAAGAATTGTCGCTAAAGTCTCCTTAATTATCTTGAAGATAGAGGTTGCCTGGCCAGAATTTTATTTTTATTTTCTCGACGTTTTGACAAAATTATGTCCTCGCCAGAAAAAAAAAAATTACACAGGTCTACAAAAAACTTTTTCTTTGCTGTAGAAAACCAGATGTTGATTCTAATGTAACTTTTCATATTGAAATCAAAAATGAAATCAGAAGTTTTCCATCACCCATATTTCTTGCAGGATAACCATTTTTTCTATAAATTGGTATATACAGTAATAATACAGAAAATGTTCGTAAGCATTTTTAAGTAAACATCATTACATTAGCTAGGGTTTTATTTTTGACAAGAAGAGTTAATATGTGGAGCCAAAAGCTTTATTTTATTTGTTATTAATTAAATTTTGCTCTTTAAGAATCTAGTGTGATAGAAAAAAACTAATGGTGTATTTGGAATCATCACAAAGAGTTAAATTTAGATAAGATGCTGTTTCTTTTGGGACAAAGAAAAATAATTTTTGATAAACCAGTGTAATGTAATAAGGTTTATGCAAAAATGCTTATGTAATATTTTTTGCTGTATTTATCCCAATACCAAAAAAGGCTGTCACGCAAAAACCATGGGTGATGGAAAATTTCAGATTAGAATTTTGAGTTCAGCATGAAAAGTTACACTAGAAACATCATCAGGTTCTCTTGGGCAAAAATGTTGTTGACCAGTGTTATTAAAGCATTTGGCAAGGCGTTAAAATTGTATTTAAGAAAACAATGGACATAATAAGCTTCTAGTGGCGGTAGAATAATACCCCTGATAGGCCAAGTCCATTCCAATGCTTTTCATCCCAGTAAGAACAGTAGGGGGGGAAAAGAGCTTATTGGACTTGAAATTAAAAATTCTTGCTTTATATCTTTATTTATTAAGTATATTTAACGCGTTATTGCCTTATAATTAATTAATATAATGAATTTATAATTAATAACTCTTACCAAATGCTTTAATTTTTCTGACGAGGACAAAAGATTTTTGTCGAAACTTCGATAAAAAGAAAGCCTTTTCTGGCCGAAGTGTCTCTTAATTTTAAAATCTCCTTGGTTGTATCCAAGCCACTAAATTAAATGTTTTAAAAACAATTCTCGAAATGAAAAATGTTGAAATCTCAATTAATAACATTGGTATGCCAAACTCATTAAGGATCCTCAACAATGGGGTCTAATTGTTGCATATATTCAGGATCCCTGGATACTTTTATTTTTCCGTTTATCATCACTCTTCACAATTCATTTTTTTCATACTTCATCCCTAAGGTTAGAAATAATCGTTATTTCTCCTTAAAATAAATTTCGATTATTCGTTCAAAAGAAACATTTGCGGTATAATTTTCAAATGTCGTTCTACAATCATAAGCCGCATTATATTGTATATATTATAAATTACTTTATATAATATTTATGAACGGAAAAATATGTCCAGGGTAGCCTAGTGGACATGGCATCTGCCCGGTAAGCGGAACACTGTGGGTTCGGTTCCATCCCTGGACACTCTATTTTTCCGTTTATCATTACTCTTCACAATTCATCCTTTCATACTTCATCCCTAAGGTTAGAAATAATCGTTATTTCTCCTTAAAATAAAATTTCTATTTTTCGTTCAAAAGAAACATTTGCGGTATAATTGTCAAACATCGTTATACAGCTAAATATTCAAGTTAACATCTAGGAAAAACGCCATCTATTGGTCTAAATTAGAACGATTTGTTCAGCTCCAGTTCAATTCTGAAGGGCCAAGTGTTTCACAGTAATCTTTTTCTCTCCTATAACTTTATACTCTACTATAATTATAAGGTAATAACGCGCCACATATCTATATTATAATTATATAATATAAAATGCAATTATTTTATCTTTTAAAACATGTATTTTATTTTCATCATTGACTGTTCTACATTTCTGACCATAAATTTAGAAGATACCACTTTGAATATTATTGTAAATATGTATAGTTAAACCTACCTATTTTTAATTCACGAATATAGAATTCATTTTATAAATTCTATAGTACTGTGAAAAAATAATTTTAGGTGTAATTTACTTCAAGTAATTCAAAATAAAAAACTACTTGATGGGTAAATAATTTATTCCCTATTTTTCACTTAAATTCTCAATTTTTTTAACAACAAACTAAAATAATTCATAACATCTATATATAAGAAATTAAGGTATTGAAGCACGAATTTTTCTTTTACACATAAATCAAACTTCTACTATTCTTACTGCGATGAAAACATATTGGGAGGGATGGCTCATCAGTGGTAAGCCTTCCCAGCCGTTTCGTCCAGAGGGTTCACTACTGATAACCCAAGCCCTCCCAATATTTTTCATCGCAGTAAGGTGAGTAGAATTTCGATATTTTTTTATTTGAAAAATTCGTACTTTATATCTTTATTTCCTATGAATATTTGGCGCATTATTTCTCTATATTTAATGTTTAACTACATCTCTATGGTAACTGTCGTTAGGTGTCTGTTCCATGGATACAACCACCTCGATATACCTTACCGATCTTATTGAGAAGTCACTTGTAGCCAGCCCTCTTGGAGGGTCTTTGGGGCGCAAGCACAACACATAGATGGTTAACCTGGCTCGATATCTTGCTACTTACTCGATATTTACTTCAAAAACTTGAAAAAATTAACGATTCGTTTATATTTATCCTGTAGTTATCAGAAGTACAATAGTTGTTATCAAAGATAGTACAGTAGATAAGCTCTGTGGATAGAGAGGTTGACTTCCCTAGAGCCATCATACTGGATGACAGAGTTCCTTCCTCAGTACGGATCCATCAAGGGACCTTCCCAATAAAATACTTTCCATTTCCAGCCATTCTTTTATCTCTTAGCTCAATTTTCTAAATTAGATTTCAGCTACACTTCCGTCAGCCTTCCTTTTCCTTCTACTGAGGGGATTTCTACGTCTTCTTCCAATGTTCCTTGTACTGAGGGGTTTACTACGTCTTCTTCCAATGTTCCTTGTACTGAGGGGTTTACTACGTCTTCTTCCAATGTTCCTTGTACTGAGGGGTTTACTACGTCTTCTTTCAAACAATGTTTCTTGTACTGAGGAGTTTACTACGTCTTCTTCCAATGTTCCTTGTACTGAGGAGTTTACTACATCTTCTTCCAATGTTCCTTGTACTGAGGAGTTTACTACATCTTCTTCCAATGTTCCTTGTACTGAGGGGTTTACTACGTCTTCTTTCAAACAATGTTTCTTGTACTGAGGAGTTTACTACGTCTTCTTCCAATGTTCCTTGTACTGAGGGGTTTACTACGTCTTCTTCCAATGTTCCTTGTACTGAGGGGTTTACTACGTATTCTTCCAATGTTCATTGTACTGAGGGGTTTTCTACGTCTTCTTCCAATGTTCCTTGTACTGAGGGGTTTACTACGTCTTCTTCCAAACAATGTTTCTTGTACTGAGGGGTTTACTACGTCTTCTTCCAAACAATGTTTCTTGTACTGAGAGGTTTACTACGTCTTCTTCCAATGCTCCTTGTACTGAGGAGTTTACTACGTCTTCTTCCAATGTTCCTTGTACTGAGGGGTTTACTACGTCTTCTTCCAATGTTCCTTGTACTGAAGGGATTTACTACGTCTTCTTCCAATGTTCCTTGTACTGAGGAGTTTACTACGTCTTCTTCCAATGTTCCTTGTACTTAGAGTTTACTACGTCTTCTTCCAATGTTCCTTGTACTGAGGAGTTTACTACGTCTTCTTCCAATGTTCCTTGTACTTAGAGTTTACTACGTCTTCTTCCAATGTTCCTTGTACTTAGAGTTTACTACGTCTTCTTCCAATGTTCCTTGTACTTAGAGTTTACTACGTCTTCTTCCAATGTTCCTTGTACTGAGGGGTTTACTACGTCTTCTTCCAATGATCCTTGTACTGAGGAGTTTACTACGTCTTCTTCCAATGTTCCTTGTACTGAGGGGTTTACTACGTCTTCTTCCAATGATCCTTGTACTGAGGAGTTTAATACGTCTTCTTCCAATGTTCCTTGTACTTAGAGTTTACTACGTCTTCTTCCAATGTTCCTTGTACTGAGGGGTTTACTACGTCTTCTTCCAATGTTCCTTATACTGAAGGGATTTCTACGTCTTCTTCCAATGTTCCTTGTACTGAGGAGTTTACTACGTCTTCTTCCAATGTTCCTTATACTGAAGGGATTTCTACGTCTTCTTCCAATGTTCCTTGTACTGAGGGGTTTACTACTTCTTCTTCCAATGTTCCTTGTACTGAGGGGTTTACTACGTCTTCTTCCAATGTTCCTTGTACTGAGGGGTTTACTACGTCTTCTTCTAATGTTCCTTGTACTGAGGGGTTTACTACGTCTTCTTCCAATGTTCCTTGTACTGAGGAGTTTACTACGTCTTTTTCCAATGATCCTTGTACTGAGAGGAGGTAACTACGTCTTCTTCCAATGTTCCTTGTACTGAGGGGTTTACTACGTCTTCTTCCAATGTTCCTTTCACTGAGGGGTTTACTGCGTCTTCTTCCAATGTTCCTTGTACTGAGGGGTTTACCTGGCTTCGTCTTCTTCCAATGTTTCTTGTACTGAGGAGTTTACTACGTCTTCTTACAATGTTCCTTGTACTGAGGGGTTTACTACGTCTTCTTCCAATGTTCCTTGTACTGAGGGGTTTACTACGTCTTCTTACAATGTTCCTTGCACTGAGGGGTTTACTTGGCTTCGTCTTCTTCCAATGTTTCTTGTACTGAGGAGTTTACTACGTCTTCTTACAATGTTCCTTGTACTGAGGGGTTTACTACGTCTTCTTCCAATGTTCCTTGTACTGAGGGGTTTACTACGTCTTCTTTCAATGTTCCTTGTACTGAGGGGTTTACTACGTCTTCTTCCAATGTTCCTTGTACTGAGGGGTTTACTACGTCTACTTCCAATGTTCCTTGTACTGAGGGGTTTACTACGTCTACTTCCAATGTTCCTTGTACTGAGGGGTTTACTACGTCTACTTCCAATGTTCCTTGTACTGAGGGGTTTACTACGTCTTCTTCCAATGTTCCTTGTACTGAGGAGTTTACTACGTCTTTTTCAAATGTTCCTTGTACTGAGGGGTTTACTACGTCTTCTTCCAATGTTCCTTGTACTGAGGGATTTACTACGTCTTCTTCCAATGTTCCTTGTACTGAGGGGTTTACTACGTCTTCTTCCAATGTTCCTTGTACTGAGGGGTTTACTTGGCTTCGTCTTCTTCCAAACAACTTTCCTTTTACACACACACACTGAGGACTTTTAAGTTTCAAATCCCTTTTTTATGTTTGTGGCTAGTTTTTAAGAGTCTAAATATCAAGTGTTCAAGTAAGACATAGTACCTAAACATTAAGTATCCATGTAACTCCGCCTTTGCCGGTCCCAAGCCCTGTTGAAAAAGGAGGAGGGGGAGCAGTAACAAGCTCACTAAAAAACCTGGGCTCAGCTGGCCCGGTTGATAGTACCCTGTAAGTGCTCCTGATCCAGGGATACAGGATGAGCTGCGTTTGTACTCCATGTTAGGAGCAGCTGCACATGGCGTCTGTTTCTCATGTCAGAGGCGGCCATTTCTTTTGGAGCTAAGTCGGCCTGCCACTGAGTAGTGCTCCCAGTCTTAATGACAAAGGCAGACGCATTCTACTTCACCCAGTCATGATGGTTGTCAAATCTCTTTTTCAAAAGTATCAAGCTTTACAAGCTTGACACCTCAAGAATTCAAATAAGACATAAGACCTAAACATTAAGTATCTATGTTATATATAAACAGTAGGTATAAACCTATCCTGTCAGAATAAGCAGGTATTGCAAAGTTTTATTCGGTTCTCGAGCCCCTCAAAATTCTCCGTCCCCAGCCAGAGTGTTGTGTAGCCTGCCCACACCCTCTGTCTCTACGGGAGTGTGAAGAGGCCAGAAGTCCCCCACAATATCCCGGCAGAAGACAGCAGCGCCAGTTTCAAGGCCACCGCCGTATAATCACTCCGGCAACAGCTGGCCGCCGTTACAGCCGGTAAGCCGAACTCTCGCCCTGCACACGGCACATTTCTACACCCGCTGTACAGCCATGGCACATTTCTATAACCGCACCAATCTACACTCATGTACAAAACTTAAGGAAGTTTCATGGAATTTCTATAAGTCGCTGGTCGTCTGTTTTTATTATTATTTTTTTTTTTATTAAGGAAACAGAAGCAATTTTGTTCACACTTGGTTATCTCGTGTGTATTCAATTAAGATCACTGTGTATCAAATATCTTTCAATGTTATTGTCTGAATCACGATATACATGCTAAAAGGTACAACTTCTTTAAGTTTTGTCCATGAGTGTACTTCAAACTGGCTAAGCGATCTTTGATTCAAGATCTCCCTTGAGAGTTTTAATGATGTTTCACTTAATGAACAGGCTTTAAAATTTCTCTGTTGAGTCTGTTACACCACGGTTGTCTTTGGATCTGTCACTTCTACTCACAACGTTGATGTTACGCTGTGTTTCTCGT